TTTTTTTTTTACACATTGCACTGCTCAAGACATAAGAATTATTTAACAAGCACTGTAATGAAAATTATTGTCTCAGAGTGTTTAGTTTTGTAAGTGGGCTTTTCACTGAGTCTGTGGAACTGATGGTAGGTGATTGGGATTTAGAATTCATAACTTCTGTGGAAACGGTATACAGAATTCATATGTGCATTTCTCTGGAGAGTTGGTTTTCCTGCAATTTTTGTATTTTCGCACTTGGTCTGAATCCCCTCACAATGTTAAAGAAAATCACTAGTTGATTTGACTACCCCCAGTAAGAACACTTACTTTTAGAACTGCTAGCCTCCCCCTTTTTTGGAAGGAGCTGGCACATTATAAAATCTGCTTTATATCTGCTTTATGAGCGAATTTACATTTCTTCTCTAAATATACTGTGGCTCGTGTGCCGAGAAGCATAAAATAAGATTCAGTGATTATGAGAAAGGAGTGGAGAGAACAATCCCTCCAAGTCTAAGCATTTGGGGGGTTTGGGAGACTAGTGTGGTTTGAATAGCGTTGATTGATGGTAATGTAATTTTATATTTGCAGCTGAAAAATTTGTTTTTGTAAAATGAAATTCGAAAAATAAAACAGTGAAGATGTTTTTTGGCTGAGAGGGATTCCATTTCAGGTCTTCTGGAATCCTTTTCATTTTCAAAAGTTGTAAAACAACAGAACCTGAACAGAAGAGATATCAACTGTGGGAAAAAAGCATTGTAGCCCAAATTGAGTGCTATAATATGGGGAGCAGAGCACAAAATCGTAGAAATATCTAAACAGAAAAATTTTAGAATCCCAAGCACCATAGTTTTTATACTGTTTTCTTGAACAATTTACTGAATTTATTATTTTCCCTTAAGGCACTTATTTATATAAAATCAGCATATAATATGTTCCTCAGTAGATTGTTTATAATTGCTCATATAGCACATGTAAGCATTTGATGTTGCTGTGTTTGTGACATTAACATTATGAGGCTATGTGCTAAAGATGAATAATGGGATGCCAAGTTAGAAGAAGGATAGCTTATGAAGGATTGTAAAAAACAAGGATTTTAGATATGATGAAAAATACAGCTATCAGAAAAAATTTGATCTAATGATGGCTTGGTAAAAATAGGAAGAATAATGAACAGTAATTATGTGGGATGTGTGAATGGGAAAAGGGACTGAGATAAGTCCATGGCGTTAGTTATTTACTACATTGTTAAATGTGGGAAGTGAGAAATGCCTATGTAGCAGAAAGGGCAAAAATTGAAGTTACTTTGGGGAACAATTTTACAGCTTTTGATAGTAAGAATAGACACCCTTAAAGTCAGGTACTGTTCTTCATGGATTATACTTGAAATAGTGACCAGGGGATAGGAAAAATGGTAAGTGGGGGGAGGTATCCTACTTTTACTGCCTTGCCTTTACTATCTGTAAGGAAGGCTTTAAATGACATGATGTAAAAGGAATGGAATTTCAATAAGTTAACTGATTGATGGCCTTCAATTTGATTGAACTTAAACATAGCTCACTCAGAACAAATATTTTCAAAACAGGCTTGAACTAGGTTTTATAATGAAGAAAAAACACTCATAACAAATGCCTACAGAGCACACCTAAATCAGGAAATCTATATATACAGTGAAAATAATACATTCAAAATAAGTGCAATTTTTGAGAAGGCATTAAGATAAGATCACAATAAAGATTTTGGTTGATTGTTGACAACACTTTGGACTTTCTTATGAAATTAACAGAGTCTAATTATAAGAAGTTAATCCACCTGGAAATGACTGGGTTATAACCACAACCTCATCCTTGGAAAGTATCCCCTTATCTCATCTTCCTTGTATAAAAACATCCATGATACCACTAATACATAGTGTGATCAAAATACATGGTGAATGTTTTTTTAATTAAAAAATTAATACAGTAAGATACATATTATCCTTAATTCCTGTATGTATATTCTTCCTCACTTCAAACCCACTTGTTGAATTGTTACTGCCATTTTAAGTTGTAGAAGTCTTCTTTTGTGTCTTTTTTTTAATTATTTCTCAACACAAACTTATTTATTTATTTATTTGGGTTTTTTAAGACAGGGTCTCACTATATAGCTGATTCTGACCTGGAACTCACTATGTAGCCCAGGCTGGCCTTGAGCTCCCAGCGATCCTCCTGCCTCAGCCTCCCAAGTGCTGGGATTACAGGCATGCGCCACCACGGCCCGGCCCGGCCCATTCTTTTGTGTCTTTATGCAGTGTGATAAAAAATAATGGAGAATGCTGCTTCAGGGTACCATCCAATGGAAAGGGAGCCTTGGAAAAACATTATGGTGTGTCCTCACCTACTTTATTACCAGCTTTCGCACCATGTGACTTCTAGCTCTTCCCCAAAGTCAAAATGACCATTAAATGATGAACGTTTTAAAACAATTTTGGGCATCAAAGCAGCCATGCTAGGGCAATTAAGACACAAAAGAAAACTTTCAGAACTGCTTCAGAAAGTTGCCATTATGGGATAAGTGTGTTCAAAGAAAAGGGAAATATTTTGAGGGGCATTAATAGCAATGTGTCCTTTACTATAGTATATTTTAACATTTACATGTTCACACTATTTGTTGATCATACCTCATATCTACAGTTTTAGGCTAAGAAAGGAAGCTTTATTTTTTACACTACAGAAGAAAAATTATATCCCACATGAAAAAATAAGTTCAAAGAGAATAATTGAATTTAGAATTAAAATCCTTATTTGCAGTTCTTTAGATGCAGTTTTGTAAAAGTTATAAATGTTTTGTTTAACTTCTAAAAACTTTTTAAGAATTGGAAATAAAATTTCTGAGCAAATGTTTAGAAAGATTATAATTGTAAAAATTTAAATTAGATATTAGTTAATAAAAACATGAGTGTAATGTATAGAGAATATTAAATATTAATAATTTGGATGACAGTACAAATAGAAGTGAATATTGCTGTTGATAATATAAGCCCTT